TTACTATAACCAGAAACCTAGCTTGAATTTTTCTACTAAGTTGTTAACAATGAGCCTATACTTATTGAGAGCATAGTATATACAAGTCAGTGATAACAGTAATACTAAATATAGTAGTCTCATTGCCATCAAGTTGGAACTGACTTATAGCTGACCCTCCAGCAGATTTTCAGAGGTTGTAAATCACCTGGGAAAAGATTGGGTATCTTTCTACTTTAGAATCACTGGTGTAATTGAAACACATGAGAGGCTCTACCTTTGGTTTAGCTGAACAACCCCTTACACACTATGCCACCATAATTCACTATGTAATGTATTAATAAAATAATATAATAGTAAAGATTTTTCATTTCATTTGTTTTCTTTTACTAACTTTGCCATATGAGTAGAAGTCTGTAGAGTATGTTAGTTACATCCTCCCTGTGTTTTATGTCTAGCCTCATACTACTCTTTTGATCTTACATGTTTAATTGTTCTAAGGAGTGCATTCTTTTCCTGGTATTATTGATCTCATTATAGGCCTATGTAACTGTGAGTTGAAAGTTGAATCAAGGGAATAAATTCAGCTTCAAGTTCAAATGGTTGCCAAGAGCCATACACTTGGGGGTTCTACCAATCTTTGTCAAACCAGTAAGCCTGTTCTGTGTGTGTGTGTGTGTGTGTGTGTGTGTGTGTGTGAGAGAGAGGGGGGGGGTTAGGGAGGGAGGGAAGGATAGAGAGAAGGAGGGAGGGAAAGATGGAGAGAGTTAGAGAAAGAGGTGGGTGGGGAGAGAGAGAAAGAGAAAGATATTTAAGTGGAAGTTTACAAAGTTAGTTGGTTTCCATTAAGTTGTTCATACACATCTTGTCATGACATTAATTGCAGCACACACAATGTAACTGCACTTTTCCCACTTTCTTCCTATGGTTCTTATCTTCATTAATCCTCTTTCCTACCCCTTCCCGCATTCTGAGCTTTATCTTTGCACAAATGCTGCCTTTTTGCTATTATGATTACCTTAAAGAGGGTCATTGTTCATCTTATAAGTCTGTCTGTTGTTTGACTAAAAGTTGAACCATGGAGGTGGAAGCCTTGTTCCCGGTTTGTAAAATAACTCAGGGTTACTGTATTCTTGGGGGTTCTACCAGTCTCAGACCTGTAAGTTTGGCTATTTTATGGTTATTACTTTTATTTCCACATTTTTTACCCATTCTATTTAAGAGCTCTGGTGATTTAGTCTGTAGGGAGCTGAGCTGCTAATAGAAATGCTACATCTCTCTGGTGGTTTGAATCTACCAGTAGCTCCACAGGAGAAAGTAACTGTTCTCTTCTTATGTGATTTACAGCCTCTGAAATTTGCTAAGAGTTTCAGGTATCCGTTGATTACAACTTAATGACAACGAATGGAATTGAGTTAAGACCTTCTACTGTGATCAATGGTGATAGCCGGGTACCATCTAGTTCTTCTTGTTTCAGCGTAATGGAAGTTGAGGTTTACATGGCCTTTTAGCCTTTAGGACTAATTGTTTCTTTGCAACTTTGCTTTTATTCTCTCAGTTTTGGACTGCGATCAACTGTTAGTTGCACCTTAAATGACTGCATGAAAGCTTTTATGATCCCTGTCACAATTCACCAAAGGAGGATATAAATGCATTCTATTTGTGGGATATGGACTAGTGAGTTTTATATTCCCTGAAACTATAGTTCCAAGGTCCTAGGACTAACAACCCATTCCCCCTGGGTGATGGATTATGACTAAGAAGTTTACATGACCTTGCTGCCTCTTGGTTATATGATAAAGCTGCCTGCTACCTGCTATATCAACTAAAAAACTCAACTCATTGCTATAGAGTCAGAACTGACATTTGTTGACCCTCCATCAAGTTTTCAAAAGCTGTAAATTAAAAAGGAGGAGATTTCCTATCTTTCTTTGTGAAGCAGCTGGTGGATTTGAACTGCCCATCTTTGTGTTAGCAGCACAACTCCTTACTGAGTAGGCCACCAGAAAGGTTTATTAGTTTTTAGACTGGAAAATGTGAGATCTCCTACTTGGTTGTTCTTCTTTAATATTGCCTTTCTAATTTTGAAGACCATCCATGGTGTTAGAACTTTGAAAAATGGCATTTCCACCCACTGCATTAGCCTCTGCAATTAGTCAACAGCTGTGGGACCAAGATAAGAGAAAGACCACTTTCCATACTGTGGAGAGATTGTGAAAAAACTTGAGCAAGAGAGAGAACCCTGGAGATGAAGACAAAGGTAAAGGTTTTGTTTCTGAACGACTAAGTGAAGAGCTGTCCTGTGACTACCAAGAGGCAAAGGTTCCTGGGTAATTGATTAAACCAGAGGTTTATTTGAGCTGCTGAATTGAACCTTGACTTTCACTTGTAGACTGAGAAGCTGTCTGAATTTATGAGGAATTGTATCTTGATACTAGTCTGTCTTGGTGCCACTATTCACTAAACTAGATTTTCATTGTCTGTCTTGGTGCCACCGTTCACTAAAACTAGACTTTCATTATGTGATATCCTATGTATCCCTTACACCTCCTCCCAACCTATTTCACTAATAAACCCCACAACTGTAAGTAAAGTCTGACGATCAATTTGCAATGAACATAAAACCCTATGATTCATCGAAATAGGAGCAGGAGCCTGTGAGGTAGCCTATCTGACCATGTAGCTATTCGTTTGGTACTCGAAAGCACACAGTTTGAGGCCACCAGCCACTCTGCGGGAGAAGGATGGGCCATCTCCTCCTATGCTATTAACGGACTATGAAAACACACTAGAAGTCATCTATGGGTCAGCTCCAACTCTATGGTACACAACAACAACAACAATATAGATGTTCTTGATGGGGACAGCTCCCCTTTATGAAGTTGATAGAAGTCCAATTTGGCCACGCCCTCGTTGTATCCAGTCCTTATTAAAACATCTTAAAATTCTGCCAAAATCATCTTCCAGGTAGTTTATAAAGCCAGTCTCTTTCATAAAGCATGAATAAAAATTGCTGTATTGCCTCATGAAAACCTTCAAAGTTGATCACCAAAAATATTTTTAAATACCTGATATTTATGAATAATTTATCAGTCAATTCCATTAAAGGAAATGAAGGCTACATTAATACGTAAAAATAGAATATAAAAATGCTAAGAAACAAAAATAATAATAATATATGCCTGCTTAACATTATTATACTAGTAACACATAAATTACAAAGTATATGATATAGGTTAGTTGGTTCTCTGTCTTTTCCCATCTCTGCTTGAGCAAACTTAGGAAATCTTTTACATATTGAACACTAATAGTAACCACATTTATAAAAAATTAATAATTTCTCTCTTCATTTTACATTCATACACAAGAAGTGATCTTTTGCTTTTCATATAGAGTTGTTTGTAAGCTTGAAGGAAACTTATTTGCTCAAGGATTTAAGAGAAAATTACTTCTCAACAATTTTAACCTTCCCAAACCAAGGTTGAAGCCTGTGGAGATGTTCCATGGTATAGGCCAGTATTTCTCAGTGTATAACCCCAAATTAGTAGCATCAGGTCCAGAACAACTAAACTGGAAACTGGAGATGAAATCACATTTTAAAAACCCTCCTATTGATTCTGATGCATGCTAAAGTTCAAGAATTGGTTGTATTGGCTAAAGTTGGCCTTCTACTGTAGAACAGACCTGAAGCTGAATGTTGAGCAAGCTCACTATACTGATCTGTCAACAATAATTTGCAGCTGCTTCCTGTCTCTCTGAGACCTGTCAGATTGCCTTGGAGAAATTAATTGAAAAATCATGTGTAGTTTATAGTTGAAATTAAAGATGTTTTGTGTTTAAATAACTACTTTGATTGTGTTGTTGTTGTTAAGTGCCATCGAGTCGTAGGTGTCTCATAGCGACCCTATGAATGAAAGTCCTCAACACCTGTGTGCCTTTCATCCTTTCTCCAGGTTTATAGGGGTTCCGGAGGCAAGCTATTACAGAAGTGGATGCCACTTCTGCTTCCAAGCTTGTTTTAATCAAGGAGCTCTACCAAACACTGTCCGCTATGGGTAACCATTAACACATTTGACACATCAGTGTCACAGTGTTCAGCTTCGCAGTAACCACAAATTACCTCTGTATGGCAAGTGGACACACCAGGGCTATACCACCTAGAAGAATGTTTGACCAAGAACAAAGAAAAACAGGCCTGAGGGCTGCGGATTAAAAGTCACCCACCTTTGGCTTGGTTGCATCACTTTCTGTCCACAAGGCCAACTGATCTCTGTTGATGTTATTGTTGTTAAATGTCATCGAGTCATAGGCACTACTTTGATTAGTATCTTATTTTATTGAAGTGGTATTGTAAAAACATTTCTAAAAACTCATCAAATTTCTAGTTGTAACTAACATTATATTCATATTATCATATTCAGCATCGAATCTCATGCTGTGTAATGATATTTAAGTGGGTGAATGGATTTTGTGGGTCAGTATGCAAAACCAAACATTTTAAGACATTAACATTTAAAGCTTTAACCCTTTTTTTAAAAGTTTATTTTAGCTGATTTTATTATTTACAACTCCTGAAATCACCAAATCTTACTTATAAGCTACCCTTGGCTGGTAGCTTACTTTCTTCATCCTTTTATAGATTTGCCAAAATTAGGGCTTTGAACCAGTTCATTGGATTCACCCTTTTTGCTGAGAATCCAAATTTTCATTTTAGTACACTGAGTTAAAATCTACAGTTTAATAAGATTCCCTAAGTGGTTCTTACAGATTTTCAGGTGATTCGCGCGCGCGCGTGTGTGTGTGTGTAGTGATCCTCAAAGTCCTGACTAAAGTGTAAATTATTTGAAAACAAATTTTGGCTTTGTGGCTTTGTCTGCTTACATGTGTTATTGATGCCATTTTTAATGTAAAAGACAAAATTTTGATTGGTAGGTAGACATCACTGATTTCTGAAAATTCAAAAGGAAGAACTTGTTATATTGGCTACTTAATATGACATGTGGTCTTGTGGTTTCTTTTAGGTGCCCGACAGAAAGAATGCTCTCCGACCTTCATCGATGGAACTGGATGGGTCCTACCTGAGTGTAGCCAAACCACAAACACATTACCAGATCAAGCAAAGATCTAAGTCTGCAAACCAAGACTTAACTTCAGAATCCCTTGTGGAGGTCAGGAATAATTCTTTGAAACCAGTAACCCCTTTGCATCCCATTGAAGGTTTAGACAGGGTACCATCGGAGAACAGAACGTGTGATTATTCATCTCCAGGGAGAAAAATAGTGGATGTAGTCCCTACAGAGAAAGCTCTATCAGAAGAGTTGAAGGTGAAAGTATATCCAAACCTAAAGTCTCCATCTAGTCAATGTTGTGGTCACAAACTTTCTGCAAATGTAGATCATGTACATAAAAGCCATCCTACAGGCATGTCACCTCAGTGTACCAGGACGCATCTCGAATCATGCAATTACTGTGGGCTTTCCTGGGCATCGCAGATGCATGGCCGAGTGGCACTGCATCCCAGTGAAACTGATTTCAAAAAGCAGCTTTCAGAAGATAGAAGGCAGCAGCTTATGCTTCAAAAAATGGAGCTAGAACTTGAAAAAGAGCGCCTTCAGCATCTGTTGGCCCAACAGGAGACAAAACTTCTCCTAAAACAGCAACAACTTCACCAATCCCGATTGGATTACAATTGGTGAGTCCTACCTCTATTCTTTTAGCCATGAATGTAATTTGGAGAACTGAGTGTAAAATGAAAGGTCAGTGTATTTACATTGAATGTGTAGGAACTGAGCTTCTCTGGGTCCGGGCTCGCCTAAAATGCATACCAGCTGTGGTAAGTAAAGGCACCTGCCTTCCTTAGAGGTCTCACATTTGATCTTTTCCTCCAAAATGATAATGTTGTTAGGTGCCATTGAGTCAACTCCAACTCATAGCAACCCTTTGAACAACAGATCTGAACCTTGCCCTCTCCTGCACCACCCTATTCATCTCTGATAGATTCAAGTTCATTGTTAAGGTCACCGTCTCAATCCTGCCTGTTGAACGTCACCTCTCTTTCTCTTACCCTCTATTTTGTTATAGTCAGTATGCCAGTCCATCTTGTTGGGGATCTTCCTCTACTTTTCTGACCCTCTCTACCTTTCCAGCATGGTATCCTTTTTCTTTCCTTTTTTAAAAATTAGTTTTTATTTTTATTATTCATTTTAATAAAATTTACAGAGATTTTTGGATTTCCATTCATTCATTGTTGTACTTTTCTCATCCAGTTCCAGAATGATGTCCTTTTTCAAAGACTGGCCTCTCCTGATGACATACTTTCATTGTCCTTGCCTCTGATGAGCACTCTGGCTTAAAATTAAGAAGAGAGTGTGGCAGCGTTGTAGTCTCTCTCCATACTTAATCACTCTGCATGCTGAGCAAATTCTTCAAGAAGTTAGACTCTGAAGAAGAATGTGGCATCAGGATTTGGGGAAGACTCATCAGTAACCTGCACTATGCAAATGACACAACCTTGCAGAATCAATTCATAGCTGACCCTCCAGAGGATTTTTGGAGGCAGTAAATCATACAGGAAGAGATTGCCCATCCATCCTTCACGTGCAGAGCAGTTGGTGGATTTGAACTACCAGCCTTTTGGATTGCAGTGCAGCTTTAGGCCACCAGAGCTCCACCTTATTGCCAGATAAGGTGACTTTTTTTTAGGGCTGGCAACATTTTGTGCTTCTTCCTTTTGTTTTTTGATGCAAAATCTACTGCCTTTGAAATGTTTTTCTCTCTTTCTGCTTTCTTTTATTTTTAGTTTTCAAAAGTGTGACTATCATATTTTTGTTACAGATTTCTCTTATTTAGAACTTTAATCAATACTTTTATGTCTTTTGCCAAATTAAGGAAATTTTAGCTATCATTTCTTTGTTTATTCGTTTGCTTTTTGGGAGTGTTTTTGGGTTGTTTTGTTTTGTTTTCTTTAGCTGTTACATCTTTGAATATATTAGCAGCCTCATGCTCTTTTCCATCTGGGATGCTGAAGACATGAATGTGCAAATTTTTGTCACAATTTCACAAATATGTGAGTCTTTGTGTTTTCTCCCAGTCTACTTCTTTCTGTTGTTCAGAGTTTATCGTTTCTCTTGCTCTGTTCTCAAGTTCACTGATTGTTTCCTCTATCTTCTCCATTTTGCTCAATAAATCCATTGAGTTTATGTATTTTTATTATTATTGAGGGTTTTTCCCCCTGTTACCTAAGTATTTTCCAAACCTAAAATTTCCATTTGATTTGTCTTCATGTTCCTGTTCATCTGTTAAAACCTGTTTTTCCATTGGCTTCGCGTGTGTTCATGAATGCTCATGGAAGCTTATTTATGATGACTGTCTCAAATCATTGCCAGATAATTACAACCTTTATATCATCTTGGTGTTGGATAGCTTTTGACTCTTTTCTCATCCTATTTGAGATTTTTCTGATTCTTGGTATAATGAAACCTTTTCAATAGCATCCTGTACATGGGTGTGATATTATAGACTAGATGTCATTCTTTTTTGGAAGACCTTCTCTGATAACTGCCCCAGCATGGGGTTTAGGGAGCCATATACTAGCCAATGGAGAATAGAAATCTCAAATCTCATTTGGTCTTTCCTGGTGAATTCCAAGACAGTAGAGGAAGCCAACTGGGCCTATTGGCATTTCCAGGTTGCCAGTATATGTTGTTGTTGCTGTTGTTGTTAGATGCAATTACATCGAATACGACCCACAGCAACCCTGTGAACAATAGATCTGAACCCTGTCCTGTCCTGTCCCTTCCTCTTCATCTCTGACATACTTGAGGCCATTGCTGCAGTCACTCTGTCAATCCATCTCATTGAGGGTCTTCTTCTCCTTCACTGACCCTCCATCTTTCCAAGCATCATATCCTTTTCCAAGGAATAGCATCTTCTAATAACATGTCCAGAGTATGAGAGACAAAACTTCACCATCCTTGTGTCTAAGGAGGACTGGCTACAGTTTTTCTGAGACATGTTTATTTACTGTTGTTGTCAGAATTGACCTGTAGCTGACCCTCCAACGGGTTTTCACAGGCATTTAATTGCACAAGAAGAGATTGTCCATCCTTCTCCAATGGAACAGCTAGTGGGTTAGAACCACGTGCCTTTAGGATTGCAGCACAGCTTTTTACCAGTATAGCCAGTATATAGTTTGGGGTGGATGAGACAAGAATAATGCCAGGAAACTGAGTTTGGCAGCAACCATGTTGTTCCTGTAATCCCAGTGTGCCTTCTTCTGCTATCTTTCAAAGTCATCTTGAGGACATGACACGTTTGCTGCAGAAGGTCAAGGACTGTAGTCTTCAATATGGATTGAAGCTCAACATCAAGAAAACAAAGATTCTCACCACTGGACCAGAGAAGAGATTGAGATTGTTAACCACTTCAGCTTATTGTCTGATCTAATAATCAACATTCTTGGCAGCAACAGTCAGGAAATCAAAAGACTGATTATATTGGGAAAGTCTGCTGTCAGGGACCTCTCTAGAGTGACTGAAAGCAGCAGTATCAGTCTGGAGACTAAGGGGCACGTGATATAGGCCATGGTCTTAGCAATTACTTGCTATGTATCAGAGAGATGCACAGTAACTAAGGATGATAGGAGAAGGATCAATGCCTTTGAGTTGTGGTGCTGGCAAAGAATCTTAAACATACTGTAGAATGCCAGGAGAATAAGCAAGTCAATCCTGTAAAGAGTGAAACCAAGCTGTTCCTTGCAGGCAAGGATTTTGGAGCTCTGTCTTTGGGCACGTGGCCAGGAGGGACCAGGCCTCGGAGATGGACATCATGCTTGGAAGGGTGGAGGGACAGCACAGGAGAGGAAGTCCCAGGATGAGAAGTATTGACTAAGTGACTGGAGAAATGGGCTGTGATGGTGAGATTGGCTCAAGAGAGGGCTTTTCAGAGCAATTGTACATAGAGTCACTATGAGTCACAGGCAACTCGATGGCACATAGTAGCAAAAACACAGTGTACTCAGCACTTTGGAATATACATTGTTAAAGGATTGGGGGAGGGGGAAATTCATCTACTTCATCTTGTCTCTTAACTGGAAGTTCCTTGATTATATTTTAATAAGTAGTAAAGGACAAATAAATATGTAAAAATTCAAAAGGATGGATGCATTTTAGTTTCTTTTCCAGTTGTATTCGTCTAATAACTTGGGTGAATTAAATTTCATTCTTTTTATTCAAAATTTAGACTTTTGTAAGTTGTACAAAATACACAAGATGTTTACCAGAGAAATTCACAGTATGAATATGATAATGTGGGAAGAATGCCTGCTTTCTGTCATTGCCATTGGAATTTGCTTTTTTTTTTTTTTAACAACAACAACAAAAATAAAATGTATGCAATCTTCAGGGGAAACTACTCTCTTGAATTCATTTGATATTTCCTTGGTCCCAGATCTCTTTATGTGCATTTTTAAAGCAGACCGTATTTCTTATTTGTGTGCTGTTCCCATCCCGGTAAGTGGTTATCATTGAATTTTAATGTCATCTCTTGGATCCATCCTTTAGAGTCTACTGCTGTGTACTTAAGAGTCCCAGTGTTTTCCTTTGGGGCATTTTCAATCTTCTTAGGTAGCCCTAGTGAACTAAATATGCTTGAACCATCCCACAGCATCCAGCTGTGAAAATGACCACCTTTAGATGCTGGGCAGGATGACTTCTGGTGCCTTTTTAAAGTTATCTTTTCAAGAAGGTCTTTATAAAAAAAGAAAGAGAGAAAGATGGTCTTCACGTCTCTAAGTTTCTGTCATCACAGTTTTGTTGTTTGATGCTAGAAGCAAGCAAGAAAGGGGTTGGGGAGACATACCTAAAATACATAGTTGCCCAAGTTTTCATTTGCTTTAGTTTGCTTGGCTCCACAGTCAACACTCTTGGCACCAGTAGCCAGGAATATAAAAGGCTTATTGCCATGGAAAAGTCTGCTGTTAGGGACCTCTCCAAAGTACTGAGAGCAATGTTGTCTCTCTGGAGACTAAGGTGCATCTGATACAGGCCATGGTCTTTGCTATCACTTGTTATGCATCAGAGAGTTGGGCAATGACCAAGGAGGATAGAAGGAGAATTTGATGCCTTTGAGCTATGGTGCTAGAGAAAAGTATTGATGGTACCATGGACTGCTAGGAAAACGAACAGATTCATCCTGAAAAGGGTTAAACCGGGTGGCTCCTTGGAGGCAAAGATTCTGAGGCTCCATCTTACATACTTTGGACATGTTGTGAGGAGAGACCAAGTCCTTGGAGAAGGACATCATGCCTGGGAGTGTGGAGGGACAGCGCAGGAGGGGAAGGCCCTCTATGAGGTGGATTGATTCAGTAACTGGGATAATCGGGATGGGAGTGTCAGAGTCAGTGCAATTGGCACAGGACAGACAGAGTTTAGGGCTGTTGTACATAGGGTCGCTATGAGTCGCAAGCAACTCAACGGTACATAACAGGTGCCGTTAACAATATCTTTCACCCACCATTTTCTTCCTTGCTTCTTCTCCCATGTTAACCCCAATTACGGGGTACAGCCTAGGACTCAGAGTCTACATCTTTCCATTTGATTAATCAGTATCACTATTCCTATTTTTAGGCTGAAAGTTGTCCTGTTCTCTGGCCTAGTTTTGAGATTTGTATAATTTTATCACTTATAAGTTATC